ATAATACATTCTATGACATTAGGCTAACAACGTGTTGCTTCTCTGATAATCTATTTTAGTCATTTAACTATTATCTGATTAACTTATCCAAAGCCTTTCCATTTATCCTTGCTCTTATGAGCCTTAGCATTAAAATTATTAGATCAGTTCTGCCTTCAGGTACTGATCAAATTTCTCTTTATCATTATGTTTACTCATAATCACTTGTATTTCTTTATTAAGATTATAAAACTTACAAAGAAATAAAATTCTTCAGTTCCAATTTCTTTCAATTTCAAGGAAGGGATAAACAAACAAAATCTTCTGAATTGGCCAGTGAAATTGAAGAAATCGAAAAGGAATTTTTGAATCTCAATATAGGAACAAGGAAAGCTGATACAAGAAACTCTGGAAACCGCCTTTCCCACAAATCCTCTAGGGTCTGTTGGTATTGAGCCTTTATTTTCCTTACTTGTTTTGTTACTATTTTTTTTATTGTACATGCCATTTCTATGATTGAAGAAAAAAAAATACCTTGGCTCTTTGACCTTTCTTTCTCTTCTTCTTGAAGTTGTGCGTGGGTTTTACTTTCAATCTTATTTTTAGCTTTTCCAGAAGAATTTAAAAGATGATTTTGATTTTGTTACTTTTATTAGCCATTATAGCTTGGATTTGTATTGTTTTGTGCCTGGAATTCTTTTGGTGAAGTTATGTGAGTGGATAAAACTTTCATTAAAAAATTGTGATGCATTTTTCCCTCATTTACTTGAGGTATCACATATTCAGGGCAATTTACTCACCAGGCAGGAACCCAGCAAGCCCCAACCAAGCCTACTTATGTCAATGTGGGGAAATATGGGTTTTGGATATGTTCACAAATTGGTTTTTTTCTGGAAATTTACATTTTGATTTGGACTACATCAGTAACATTCTTTGCATATGTTGTAGGGTGTGCAAACTCCACAATTGGAGTATAGGCGAGATAAGAGGCGGACAGTCAGGAGCAATGAAGATCAACGATCATCAATCCTCTACCTTCACCACAGCATACACACAAAAAGTGTGGTGGAAAAAAGTGATAAGTGAAACAAGGCTGAGAGCAGCAGACACATTGTGGGTGAGTGGAGATGTTTGTGGAAGGATCAGTTATCATTTAACACAAGAGAAGAAAAGTCAGAGAAACCAAAGGAAAAGACAAAAAAGAGAAAGAATGAAAATACACCTGAGAGCAGCGGACATGTTGCGGGTGAGGGGAGATGTTTGTGGAAGGATGAGGAAAGAAGTCTTCCACCACTGCTGTCTCAGGTGTACTACAACATAATTGAAATGACAGTGAAATGTATGTGAAATGTATGTGACATGTATCAGGCATACTGATAATGAATAATGAGGACTAGTCTCAATATGTGTAAC